GCCAGAGACTGATCACTGCCAAGTGTTCCACTGAGCGCTTCAGAAGATCCTTTATCCCTGTGGCCATCAAGCTGTACAACTCCTCTCTATAAGTGCTGGGACTTTCATGTGTAATGCATATGCAATACATGTTCAATTCATGTGCAATAAGGGACTTTCATGTGCAATACAAATTTATTATTACTGCCTATTATTAATAGTAAGATTAGTGTGCAATACATACTATATATCTACTGTACTTAATTACCGTTACCACACTGGACTTATCATACTCAACATTTGTCATTCCATTGCACTTCAATTAACTTCACACCTGATCTAAACTATCATCTTCACTGGTACAGTTCTACATCATTATTTGTATGTTTACTTATTCATTTTTAATTTATTGATTCACTTTTTCATTTTTGTATATATATACTGTATAGGTATATATTTATTTTATTTTCTTCTTTCTTTCTTTCTTTCTTTCTTTCTTGAGAACAATTGTAACATGGCAAAGCAATTTCCCCCTGGGATTAATAAAGTTCTTTGAATCTTGCAAATCTTGATTTTTTTAAGCTTTTACATGTCTTAAAAAAGACGTTGCTAACAAGTGGCTAAATGGACTACAGAGGTTGTCGGGGACATTAAACATCATCACACCGAACAAGAAAACTCAACTACTACTCGTACTACATTCCCAAAAAAGGTGGAGGGCAAATTCATCCACAAAAAGAGCACAGTAGATCCTTATTAGGGAACATGTTCAATCAAATAAAGATTGAAAGAGTTGTCAGAAGCTTAGTGGTGGTGATGTTGAAGTCATGCGACCTTGGTGTAGTTCGTTTATAGCCTATCTTTAGCTTTTTACTTCTGGTGATTGTATTTAGGCTTCAAAATTCATAAAAGTTGTGTTCAATTGTGAAGATTATCTTGATGAATAAAACATCTAAGAATCATAATCTTTTGTTGGTCACAGAGCTTATTTTCTGCAATAATCCAAATGCCAATGGAAAAATCCTGTTGGCTTTTTGTCGAGGGAACCAGGGTGATGCTAACTTCTGGGTTGGCCTACAAAAATACGTCATCCCTGTGGCACTCTATTGGGCTCATATTTAGAATTCACTTCAGAGGCTATTAGACCAAAGTGATTATCTGTGGATAACTGGCAATAATAATGGACACTGAAATATTTCAGCAACACTGGAGTACTGTCAGCTTAGATACAGTTTCTAGGTGCAAAACTTTTCCCCCTCTGATTCAGAGTTCTAGCCATTCAGTGGATGTTTTTGCATTTTAATGACTTGACTCTGAAAAAGAAAATATATTTTCATTATTCCTGAAGCCATCCAGAAACCATAATAGTGGAGATATGTTGCACCCTGTGTTTTTGAGTTTCATACTTAAATGTGTCTTTAGCAGATAGCCTCTGTTAGCAGATCATTGGTCTGCATATTTGATTTGGTACAGTTTTTAATGCCGGATGCCCTTCTTGACGCAACCCTCTCCAATTTTATCCGGGCTTGGGACTGGCACTGGGAGTGCACTGTCTTGTTCCCTGGCCCGGAATCAAACCCAGGCCATGGTGGTGCGAGTGCTGTGGCTTAACCACTAGTCCTCCAGGGACCCAGCAGCTGCAGAGCTTCATTTTGTTTAAATAAAGGAGACAGCATTGGGTTTCACATGCTGCAGCATTGCTTTGAGAATGATCAGCCTTGTTTGATGTTGGCACAGGAGCATTCGTGATTACTACTGTATTACCTGTTGAACGTTTTCACTTCAGATAAAGGACGCAGCAGCAATAGAGATAATTTGCAGAAGTGCTGAGCTGAAATTCTTTCCCACATTGATTCTTGCAATTCAAGTGCAGCTGGGCAGAAAAGTATGACTAATAGGCAATAAATTTTTTCTTCCCCCAAATTTAAAAAACTAGCGTTAAAGTGAAAAGTATTTTGGGGTATACAAGAATGATACCATCAAGTAAGATTAATGTTTAATTAACATTTTTGAATACAGTCAACTTTTAAATTAAAATAAATGAAATAGTCAACAGGACTTTGAAAGCAGCATACCACCGAGAGCAAGAAAACTTTTCACTAACGAAAAATATCACTTTATGACATGGCTACTAATAACATTTTATTTAAACTTGTTTTAAATAGATTGACATGTATTTAAAGAAGCACCCAAACCAGACCTTGCAACATATATTTTTAAATGTATGACTTTTATGCTATTGTGCAGCTGGACCAGGATCATATGTCTCCATGACCTCAACATGTTCCCCTCTGTATCGATTAGGCTGATCAAAATTGCCTACTTTTACCAAGAAACTTTTAAAGCTTGACTATTTTGCCATTGTCTGTTCAACCGTGCGATTGCGCAGTGACTATTTGCCAGCAGATCTTGGTATCAGCAGCCTTGACTTCCGCAAGAAGGAGGAAATTTAAACTTTGGAATTGACTAAAGTAGTATCTGACTATTTAAGAGGAAATTTTAATTCCGGATTTGAATAGAGTGTACAGTTATTGGAAAAAGAAAGTATACCCTCCTTCAATTCTATGTTTTGTGTTCCTAGTACAAGTACTTCTGTCTTGTCAGAATTAAGTAGAAGATAGTTAAAAAGCATCCAGTGCTTAATGTCCTTTACACATTCATGAAATTTCTATTAAGCTGGTGTACCTAATATGGCTTTGCTTAAACATACAACTGTGTGTCATCAGCATAACAGTGGAAGCTAATACCATGTTTACGAATAATTTTACCCAGAGGTAGCATATAGAAAGAAAACAGCAGTGGTCCTAAAAGAGAACCTTGTGGAACACCTTGCACAACAATCTTTACCTTAGTATGCGTAGAGAAGTCACCATTTACATCTACAAACTGATAACGATCAGTCAAATAAGACCTGAGCCAGGAGAGGGCCATTCCCTTAATGCCAACAACATTTTCCAGTCTATCAAGGAGAATAGTATGATCCATGGTATCAAAAGCTGCACTGAGGTCAAGCAACACAAGCAAGGAGACACAACCCTGACCAAGAGGCCAGTAGTAGGTCATTTACCACTTTAACCAGTGCTGTCTCAGTGCTATGATGAGGCCTAAATCCTGACCGATACATTTCATGAATGTTATTTCTATGTAGGTATGAGCATAAGTGCTGTGCTACAACGTTTTCTAGGATTTTTCTTGGAGATAAAGGAGAGGTTTGATATTGGCCTGTAGTTGGATAGCTGACAGGGGTTGAGGTCAAGTTTTTTAATCAGGGGTTTAATAACTGCTAGTTTAAAAGATTTAGGTACATAGACAGTGCTAAGGGAAGAACTGATTATCTTTAGAAGAGGTTTGATTGTTTCTGGAATGATCTGTTTGAACAAACATGTAAGTAAAGGATCCAGTATATTCTTTTAACTGGAGCTACCTTATCTAGTGTATAGCAGAAGGTTGATTCTAAGCATTCATTTGCCTGGTCAAGTTCTTCGGGATCAGACGGTGATCCAGTCATGGTTGGTAACTCTGAGAGATTACTGTTTTTTTTTTTTTTTTGTGGTTACGTATTTTATGTTAGTATAAACAACTTCAAACGTGTTGAATTTATGACTAGGTTTTTGTGTGACATCTAGATTATCATTATAAATAACTGCAATGCCTCCTCCTCTGCCAGTTAGACAGGGCTGATATATATAACTGTATCCAGGAGGACTAGCTTCATTTAATGCTACATACTCATTTTTTTTAATCCACGTTTCTGTTAAACACAGTACATTAAACTCCTGATCCATAATAGTTTCATTAACAATAAGCACTTTTGTTTAGCTCTGGGAACAGACACAGTCTCAATATAGTGGAACCTGAGTGAGGACTCAGTGCAGCTAACAGACAGTCAATCTAGCCTGCTTGTCTGTTCCCTGACCTTGGCTCTGGATTGTCACCAATTAACTAGGCCTGTTCTGAGACTATGTGCAATTCTGCAAGAAATGAGAGTAGCACCTTCCCGAGTGGCATGGACACTGTCCCGTCCTAACAGACCAGCCTTGCCCTCAAAACTACTCCAATTACCCATAAAGCCCACATTGTTTTTGGAGCACCACCTGGACATCCAGCAGTTCAGTGACCACAACATGCTCTAAGCTACATTACCATGCCACATTTGGATGGGGCCAGAGCATATTACTGCATCAGACATCACCTTCACTAATTTACACACCTCCACAATGTTACTCTTAGTAACCTCTCACTGTCAAATGTATATATCATTAGCTTGTACATGAAAAACTATCTTTGAAAACTTATACTTGCCTAAGACCCTAAGATTACCTGCTATGTCCGGCGCCCTGGCTCCCGGTATACACCTAACTAGTGCTGCTAGTGCCCCTAAAGGCCTAGCTAATTTCACATGCCTTAAGATAGCGTCTTCTATAACCAGAGCTCTTTCAGGTTTCTCAGCAGGTACTTCACTGAGGAGAACAAACCTGTTAGACACGTGAAGTGGAGAGGAGTGGTGCTCCCATGGGCAAGCCTTAGCGTTAGCGTTGGCTTTTGCGATTATGCCTCAGAGTTGCCAGCCATTCACCCCGCTGTGAGGACTCTAATGCCGGAGTTGGGGGATAGCTAACTCTGTCTAAGGCATCCAGACTTTCCTGTACAGAAACTACACTGCTCTCACTCTTGCTAACCCTCTCTAGCATCTGGATGCACACATCTAATGCTGCAATCTTCTCCGTCACAGAGCTAACTAATATACACTTATCGCAAATAAAGCTATTACTAACAACGGAGGAAGAACTAAGACTAAACATCATGCACTCGACACACTGAACAAACTGAATGTTTGCCATGTTGAATGTTTAACGTACCTTAGTTGAAGATTTGTTGATATTATTTTAGACGGATCCAGCATGGATGGCCTCCGCTGTCTTTAGATAAGAAATTAAAAGCGTTCTTTGAGACAATGAAAATGCAGCAGAAATGAAAAGTGAAAATACAACAAATGAAAATGATAGCACAAAATTATTGATGAAAAAAAAAATAGTATAATTTAAACACCCACACAGGCAAGAAATTCTCAGCAAATGATTCGAAAACAGGAGCTACATCACAGGAAATCCTCAATATATGACTGGGTGACAAGAATTTTTAATTCTGTAATTGAATAATGTATCTGGATTTTCTGTGCATGTCAGCAGAAAATTCCCCTTATAGGACCAACCAGAGAGTCTGTCCCTCAAACAAATCCCTGTGACCAGCGGCATTAGCATTATTTAGCTAAGATGTGTACTTTGCTAGCTGTCTAATTTTGTCAGATAAAAATGGATATTAAAGAGAAGTGGGAGCCATTCAACAAACTACATGAATTGCATTTTAATTCCTGTCTCATTTTTTGAGCATGACTACTAAAGCTATGCCTTGCTAGATATCAGATTCCATAGCAGTGGCTATATGGATTAGAAGCCAACAGCAGGTAATGACACAACCCCCAGTGGCAGCTACCTGTGGCATTGCGTTTAACAGCTACATTTAAACGACAAATTTTTTTTCTTCAGCATATTATCTATATTCATTGAAAGAGACATGCATTATTAAATAAAAGGAGGTGTAGAAATTTAGAAAATATATATGTACTTTATTTGCTATGAAATATGTTTGTGTGTGTGTTTGTGTGTGTTTTTAGTGCCAGCTAGTATGGCTCATGAAAAACACCATGCTTGGTAGAAGCATGTTTTTTTATAGCCCCTCTTCTGATCTGAGATAAAGAGCAAACTACTTTTTTAGAGGAATTAGTGGGAGCTTGATTAAGTTTAACTGTGTTGGGTTACTACACTTCACAGATACCTTGCCGTACATAAACTGGGCCTTTAAGTATTGGAAAAACATTACCTGATCTTTTTTCAATCCTCAACTGTGCAGTTTTGATGAGTCTAGGAAGCTTCCTTCTTTTGGCTGACAGTAGTGGAACCCAATGTCGTCTTCTGCTGTTGTAGCCCATTCACGTCTACATATTAGGAGTGTAACCCAATGCCAATATTTGTATTTATATGCATCTTTTTAGTGCTCAAAATATTCATATCTGTTTTCATACTCTGATTTAAATGGGAAGGGTCATGGTCTGTTTTTTGTTTGTTTGTTTTTGTTTGTTTGTTTGTTGTTAACTACTATGCCCTGAAAACACTGGAAACCACTGAAAAACATAACTTTATTCAACTCCTGAACCAGATGCCCTGTGAAACTTATCTTCTATGTAATGTGACTGAGTAAACAAACTATGTTTTAAAATGACTATGTCTTTCCCAAATCAAGAAACTGTTATTTAGAGTACAGTTGACAGCAATAGCCATCTAATAATATTTTAACAGATTTACTTCAGTTTTTTGGTTTATTAAATTCCAGAAAGATCAGAAACGTTCATTGGTCACAGAATCTACTATAAAGCTGCAGCGTAAAATGAGATTCCTTAAGCAGCATTTCATTATAATGCCTATATAATTTTCTGAGACGATTTCCTTCTAAAAACATTAGAGAATGATCATTTAAGAATGACAAAAACACACACAAATGAACATACAAGTTTTACAGTATTTTTAAAATTACTTAAAAAAATATTTTGTGAAGAGCCCAGCAGATCTATG